CTGGCCGAGCGGCACTGGGCGCTGGGTGTGTGTGCGCCACCTCCACTGCCGAGATCTGATCGTCAAGGCTGTACGCCCCGGTGCGCCGCGCCGCACCCGGATGGCCAGTGGGCCGGGCGGCGGTCCCGGAGTTGGTTGGTCAGACGAACTTTGTTTTGTTTTGGTAGTGATGGTGGGAACTTCTCAGACTGGAAACCACCTGGAAAAGGAGCCCGGCCGTGAAGCCGCTGTATCTTCCTCTCCTCCCTCCTCTGTCTGCATTCTTCCCTTCGGACTAGTTTTCCCCCTTGGTTCTGAACAGCTTTTTTCCCCCCTGAACTTTAATGCGTTTAATTTGGTCCGCGCTGCGGGGAGCATTTCCTGGGGAGATACATTTAATTTCGGAATTTCTAATCCCCTCCCTCAGATCCCGGGCCTTGGCGCCCCTTGCCTCTCCCCGGGAGGTGGAAGGAGGGAGGCAGGCTCAGGCCACGGGGGAGGGGCAGGGTTGGGGTCCCCTCCTCCAGACCCCCTGCGGCTCAGCCGTCTACCCAACTGCTCAGGGCCGGGAGCCTGGGCCCCAGGCCCGGGCCCTGTTGGCGGAGGGAAGGCCGCCACGCCTCCGCCTTGCTTCCCACTGGCAGAAAACGCTGACCCAGGGGGACGCGACACTCCCAAACGAAGAAGGGTCGCGAAGAGAGCGGGAGCGAGCGGCGGCAGCGGACGGGGGTCTACTCGGGTGTTGCATTTCCTTCGCAACGTGCCCAGAAATCTGCTTGAGAGCTCCGGGTGCGAGTGGTGCTTGGCTTGGCTTGGGGCGCCTGTGCGTGTGTACACACACCGGACAGCCGCCTCCCGGACACGTCCCAGCTCAGAGCCAGGCGGGCCGCAGCTCGGCCCACCGCGAGGGCGGGGTTCCCAGGCGCCCGGAGAGCCTGGCAGGGAAGGGCGCGGAGAAGGCGAAGGAGCCAGGATCCACAAGGAAGATTTATTGGGCAGATCAGATGCACAGAGGCGGCTAATGAAGCAAATCCCGAGATGGGTATCAGAGCAACTCCCCAAAAGTTTATTTGCCTTTAAATTTCCGCAGGGAGGCGGGCGCCTTGTTTGAAGTGTAAATGTCCCTAGGTTGGGGGGTGGAAGGGCCGCTTTGAAAACACCAGAGAGAAAAGGTTCATTTAGAGGCAGACGCCGAAGCAACCAACCCTGACAGGTCGGAGCCCCGGTTGTGTTTGGGGCTGGGCTGTTTTGTTTCTTTCCCTTTTTGCCTTTTCTTGCTTTTCCCCCCTCTACCAGTGTCTACAGAAGAAGAAAGGGGAAAAGAGGAAAGAGGCCGTTGGAGCGAGCCGCTAACGGTCAGAGAGAAAGCTATAGGCCAGCCCTTTATCCAGGAGCCCTAAGAGAAGACAGAGTCTTGGCTAAAAGGGGTACCTTAAAGGAGTCTCTATTGGGGAGAGTTGCTAGTTAACTTTCTAGACACAGGAACAGACCAGAACTAAGGAGGAAGCTGGCAGAGGCTGGCCTGGCTGAAGGGTGGGTATCCAGCAAGTAAAGAGGGTCTGCTTGGGAGTTGGGCTGTCACAGAGGAGTCTACTTCTCAGGGGGGATGCATGTGAAGGATAAGTGTGTGTGCACAACTTCCAGCACACTTTGTGCATTAATCTCCAGCTACAAAACATGAAATTCCTCTTGTGCAGTGTGTGGTGATACACGTTATCTAAGTTCAAACCCACAGCATGTGTAACATGGGTGTATGTCTAGCTGGTTCCAGAAGCCTGGCTCTAGAGAAATCTGTGTCAAAGGTGGAGGGGGTTCTGTCCACAGTTCCTCCAGTAGGTCACCCCCCCAAGACTTAACTTTGTGGATGACCATTATAGGGAAGTCTTGGGGCAAACGGCTCCTTTAGGTCTGAACTGATCTCAGTGAGGACCCTTCCTCAATGATCCCTCTACTCCCAGTTCTGGGTTAACCACCTCCCCAAGGAAGCCCAAGGCTGTCCCAGCTAATACCACCTGAGAGGCCCTTGCTCCCAGGCCTGGGAGCGGAACGTTCTAGGTGCCATGCACTGTTTTCCTTTTTCTCTCCCCACACGAAGTTAGTGCGTGTTCGTGGGGTTGTGAGGCCAAAGCAAACCCGGGAGCGCCATCTACAGGCCTCCAGAGGAAGAGACTGACCTTCGGGCCACACTCTGCTCCTTCAACCTCCGGCCCAAGAGAACAGGCTCCGCCGCCCAAGTGGGGGAGAGTAGGCAGCAGGGAGGGAGGGTTTTTTTTTCCTCCCAGAAGTTACCCCACCGGGAAAGTGGTTTCAGGAAGATGCAGGACGGAGGGCAATGCTGGGATCCCAGCGGACCTGGCCCACTAGTAGTGTGGGAGGCTCCAGAATCTTGTCGCCTGAGCTTGGCCAGAGCTCCGCCTGAGGAGTAAGGGCGCTCGGCAAACCCAGGTCCAGGAGGCCTGATAGGAGTTTCTTTTGGCTGAGTCCGGTGGGTGAAGTCCCCAACCCTAAATACGGCCAGGCTCTCCGGCCAAAGGAACCGCGGCGCGAGTCCCCGGCGCTTGGCGCTTTCTCGTGAGCCAGGGGCAGCAGGCAAGGCTGGAAGAGCTCCGGGTGCGGGCGGCTGGCGCGCAGCGCAGCACCGACTTTGCCGAGCCGCCCTTTTCACAGACCCCGGGAAGCAGGGGGAGGGAGCGAAGGAGGGAGAGAGAGTTAAAACATCAGCTGAAGTGCCAAGATGATTTATGAGACGAGGGAAAATATTTCATAAAGATCTCCCGGATATTCTGTATTTAACCAGTTAGGAGACAAAGGACCTCTCTCTCCTGCCTGGTGCAAGCGAGCGGACCCAAGCGAGCCAGCGAGTGGCGGTGAGGGCTGCGGAGGCTAGGCTGGCGGCTCCGGCGGGAGCGGGGCCGGGCCCGGCGCGCTGCGCCTCCTGCGCTTGTTCGGGATCGCCGAGCTGGCAGCGGGCGGCGCTCGGCCGCATTCACAGCCTCCTCTTCTCCCCAACCGGGGAGACCAAGCCGAGCCTTAGTCTCCTGCGTCCTCTGCCGCCAGCGACTGGCCGCTCCCTACTGTCTCCTACCCCAAGTCCCCGGGCGTCCGTTGTGTCCCAGAGAGGCAGGTGGGTCCTCGCTGCTTTAGGTCTCCAGCTCGATTCCATACTGAGAGCTCTGGGCTCTCCAGAGTCCTGTGGACGAGGGGACGCAGGAGGCCCAGGACGCAGCGGCAGGTCTTGGGACGCGAGAGGACAAACTGTCGGCACTTTGCCCCGGAATGAGAATTGGGGGTGCGTGGACAGGGAGGCACCTCAGGAAGGAAAGGCTAAAGGAAGGAGCCGAGGGGGAGGAAGGAAGAGTTGGAAAGGAACGGAAGGGGAATTGGGGCTGAAGGTAGAGCAGTTAAGACTAGGGATGCGAGCTGGCAGGGCCGCGCGGCCAATGCGGGCACTGGTCGGTGGATGGCAGGGCTGGGAGACTTGGGGCTGAGAGCCGGCTTCGGAGCGCGGCGCGCGGCTCAGCCCTCTCTCGGTACCTGAATATTCATTAGACTGGCCTCTCTTTATCCTTATCTAACGTTTATCTTATCGGCGAGTTTCGTTTCTCAGTGTAGTTTTAATCCCGGCTCTGCTTCCCCCTCCCCGGCCGCTCCCCTCCCTCGCTCTTCCTTCGCCCGCTGCTCCCTCCCTCCCGCTCGCTTTCCCCTCCCCTGCCCTCCCCTCGCCGGCACCGGAGTGACAGGCGCGGGGCCCTCCTCGCCGAAGCTCGGGGCTCCGGCGCTGGCGAATCACAGAGTGGTGGAATCTATTGCCTTTGTCTGACAAGTCATCCATCTCCCGGCGCGGGGAGGGGGAGGGGGTCTGGAGGGGGCTTTGCAGCTTTTAGAGAGACACACACCGGGAGCCGCGGCTCCAGTCTCGGGCCGAGCCTCCTCGGAGCCGCAACCCACCTGGGGCCAGCCCCGCACTGCCGCGCCGCTCGGCTCCCTCCTCCCTCCGGCCTCCGGCCGCGGCGGC